TCCCCTTACATTCGTCATTGTAAATTACAATTACAAAATCGTTCATTGTCGGAATATGTAACATTTATTTGTTTAAGCTTTAATTCAAATGAGAGAGAGAGGCAATGTTCTCCGAGCTTTCTCCTTTTTCGTAGTGAGTACAAATGCATTATATATTTTCCTACAATGTACAAACTAATGTTTTAGCCGACAACTTATAATTTACGCATGAAAACATGTACCTTTATTTTACCGACGTTACTTTTCAATAAAATCGACAATATTTTAACGGGGACCGCAAAGTAAACTGCAAGTTACATAAACAATGATTTAAATGTATCCGTTTGCTTCCAATAGAAGCAGGATACAGGATAATTATGCTGTGAACGTCATAATCCAACTACGTTTTTACGTCTTTACTTTCGCGGACCATCGGACTTTAGCGTATGGAGGCATCGTAATTTAGCGCAGACCATCGCACTTTAGCGTGACCATCGTACTTTAGCGTCCCCATCGTACTTTAGAGTCATACATATATAAATCAGAAATAATCAATGGAAAAATGGAAAATTTTTGGGAAAAAAAAACCCCAAAAAATCATGAAAAAAAAAATCCTCCAAAAAATTTGTCCCTCCCCAAAATAAAATTTTTTTAAAAAAAATTTGAAATCTTGAAAAATCTTGAAGAAAAAAGTATGAACCCCCCCAAAAAAAATCCCCCCCTAAAAAAAAAATTTCCAAAAATTAGAAATTTAAAAATAAGATGTTTAGTTTGCTCTGTTACCATGGAAGGTCAATTATATAACATGCTGTTTTCATTTTTTATTTGGTCTAAAGAATCCTGTAAGGTGTTCATTTCCATCTCACAGGTGTCAAATGACCTTGACAACATTTTTCATCGCTTATTTATAAAATTTTAGTTTCTATGCAAGTTTAAACCATGAAGTCAGAGATTTTCTACATATTATTCAGTCATTACCAATAAAGCAGGCTTGAGGGATATTACATACCTCAAGAAGACGTTTTCACGAGACGTGACATAATGCAGATTAGGGGTTTGATAAAGCATTAGAAACCGTGACTGATATTGATATCATCATGGATGGCTTATACAGCACGATTGTCATTGATTTTATTACACATACAATTTACTTGTTTTTTCTAATTAATATATCATAAAAGCATATATTATGAATTTGTAGATTTACAGTAACACACTAAGAAATTCCAGCAAACTAGGAAAATACTGCTTTTATTTTATTATTGGGACATAGATGCACTGAATCTATGCTAAGTTGGTCCTTTCTTAAATTATCCGTTGATAAATTTAGAAATTATAAAGAAACAAAAGTTCCAATTGACTTTAGAAAGATATGGCTATTACTTAAGGCCCCATTAAGTGTATAGCTCTTGATTAGTGTGGTTCATTGTTTATGTACCGGTATGTGGCTTTCAAATTTTTGGCGATGAGCGTTCCTGATGAAGGTAAATCCAGAAAAGCGCTTTGAACACATAAAATTGATTAAGTGTTATTTTCATTTTGTCATAGCTCTGACTTGTAGTACCACTGGTTCCAGGTTTGATCTATTTTAGTGCATCAGAAATATTAAATCCAGTTCTACTTAAAAATACGGACAAATGACCGTTGCAATTTCAAACTTATGTGTAGAATGCATCACTGAAAAGAAGTTTGTTCCATGTCTTGAAAACACTGCAGCCATTCCCAAATATCTATTACTCCTTTTTGCAAAATTTTAGTCTGTCTTCAGACATTTCAAAATTTACTGTACTTTTCCTAATTTGTCTTTCTTTTTTCAGGTATCTGTACACGGGAGAAACAATCCCTCAGAGATTTCATACTTTTACAAGACAGAAAAATGGAACACTTAGTAGATACCAGGTACGTGATTCTTTTCAGATTGGTCACATGATCACTGATTTATTTGAATTGACTGTAAATTCAGAAATTTTTGTGAGGTTTTTAATAATGTGAATAATACAACTGGGTGAGTATCGCAATAATTAGAACACACATTCTCAAATCTGATGCATATATAAATGTATGCAGATGATTTTGAAATTGCAATAATCAACAATTTTTGTCCATTCTTCGCCCTGATAAATGCACATAATAATTTGATTATTTCTGAATTTACAGTAATGATATTATGGACTGTTTGTCAGCTTTGAGTTGGACAACATTTTAAATATGAATGATTTCATAGCATGGTTTGACAAAAATTTACATTTTCTAGGATTTTATTCATATTTGGTACAGGAAATCATATATCTGTAGGAAAAAACTGTAATTAGAATAAATAGATTTAGTAGATTCTTTTACTTGATTCTTTTCAGATTGGTCACATGGTCACTGAGTTAATTGAATATACTGTAAATTCAGAAATTATTGCGGTTTTTAATGATGTGACAATTTTTATCTCAGTTGCCCTCAAGGAGCTGTTCTTGTAACATTCTGTTGTCTTCACGGGGTGTTTTAACTTTTGAAACCACATGGTTAGTTAGAACCAATTTTTGTCAAAACCCGTAGTGTTTGGAGTTTTAAAATTGCATTTGGTCTTTCTCCATCAACCAATATGACCTTCATTTCTGAAAGTTAGAAAAAACGATGACAAAAAGTGAGTTTTAAAAAATCAAAAAAGGTAGTATAAATCTATAGCTTTCAAACTTGGTAAATTATACATTGATGGTTCATTGTATTAGAAATTAAAGTAAATGACAAAACACCATAAAAAAATGACCGCTACTGTTACTGAAAAATAAATTGACAAACATTTCTATAAAAAAAACCTTCTGAAAATCATGTAACTGTCAGTTTTTTCAATATTTTTGCAAAATGACATAGATTAAAATGTAATCATTGGTTGAGGATTCCAATGCCTGTCATATGTGTGTTCTACTGTTATTTGAAAACAAACCAAGTTGATGTCAAATTTAATGAAATTTTTTTGGAAAACCATTTAGTCCTAAAAATTTCTTTTTACCAGTCTTTATTTCATTTGGTTTTTTGTTTGTACTGATGTGACAGCCATGTTCAGCAGTGGTTTATAGGGTGTAAACAGAATTCATAAATTCATTTGTGTATCATTTCACTAAAGACTGGTAAAAAGAAGCTTCTTTTTACCAGTCTTCAGTGAAATAGACTCCTTTTTACCAGCCTTTAGTGAAATGATACACAAATGAATTTATGAAATCTGTTTACACCCTATAAACCACTGTTGAACATGGCTGTCACATCAGTACAAACAAAAAACCAAATGAAATATTCTGAAAAATGCAATCTAGGTCCAATTGCTTCATTTAATGTATAATGTTTACCTGTCTGTGCATCCCTCTGTCCATCCTGTATCAGATTAAAGTTTTGGTTTAAGGTATTTTAATTTAGTAACAGCAACTTGAAACTTATAGAACATATGTTCATAATGAAATGAACTATTTAATTTAGATGTCAAGTTACTGTTTTGACACCGATTTTGTTGTTCACTGAACATAGAAATGTGATAATACGAGTGGGGTTCCTATGGACACTTATTCTTGTTTTAAAAAGATATTAAGATAATGAAAATGAATGAATTTTATGTGTCTTAAATAAACGCTTGTTTTTTTTCTGTAATATATATTGATAAATGTTTTGTTTTTAGGAATTTAATGCAAAAACAGCATTAGACAACCCAACTTTAGATAAAGATGGTAATGTTCTAGTTGGTTCTCACCCAATACTATGGCAACTTATGGCACATTTAGATAATCCAGAAACACCAGCTTCTTCACAGGTAATCTTTAATGTGTGGAAGGTTCAATGAAATACTTTTTATACGCTCGTTTACGGAACATATTATGGTATACTGTACCGTTGTCTGTCCGTCCGTCGTCAACATGTCGGACAAAAACTCAAAAACTCTTTAAACAATTTGCATGAATCTTTGGTGAATTGTTTGAATCTATTGATGTAAGCTCCCTTTCGATTTTTATAAATTTGAAATTCTACATTTTGAGTTTTGGGGTTTTATTCATTAAAAAGGGGGATTTTCCAGTTTTCGGACAATTACTCAAAAATACTTTGAGCAGTTTTCATGAAATTTTGGTGAATTGTTTTTATCTATTGAAGTAAGCTCCCTTTCAATCTTTATAAATTTTGGATTTTACGTTTCGAGTTGTGGGATTTTATTCATAAAAAAGGGGGATTTTCCAGTTTTGGACAATACCTCAAAAGTGCTTTGAGCAAGTATCATGAAACTTTGGTGACTGGTTTATATCTATAAGAATAACCTCCCTTATGTTTTTTTTATAAATTTCTGATATGACATTGAGGAGTTATGGAATTCTATTCGTTGAAAAAGCGACGGGCGTATCATGCGCCGATGGCGCAGCTCTTAATTTTAAAATATCTGGATATCACATACAGCTAATGTACATGAAAAATCTGGACACATCTAAATGGTTTTTCATGTTCAGATAATACGTTGATATGAATTAAAGGGGAAGCAATGCAAACATCAATCAGACAATAACCAAAGCATGCAAAATACAACATACAGTCTAAAATCATAGTCAAGCATCTTTACAAGACCAACTCTTAGTTGCCCTGAGTTTAGACAAGTAAAGATTTAATATCTACATCAATAAAAAAAAATTAACCATTTTTACACAAGAAAATCACAGACTATTTACCATGTGTACAAACAAGAATATTTCAATTATTTAAAAATTCTAGGAATTCATTGTTTAATCACTTTCTTAGTTATGATCATGCTAAAACATTACTGGTATTTCAGAATCGTCCAAATATGTCATCCATATTCATTCAATATCCAGTAATTGTCAGTTGACTCCTTCTAGGATGTATTGTCCTTAAATTATGATTTTTTATCCTGCCAAATTGATTAATGATTTTAAATTTCATGTTTTGCTAAGTGAGGGGTTAAGGCTCCTCAGAGCCTCTAGTTAATTAATGCCTTATGTACACAATACCGATTCATCCAAGTAATGATTTATTATTTCCAGGTTATTAAACTTCACATGAAAGATGGAGTGGTGACCAAGATGACAGAAGTTTTCAGTGATAATGGTCATACATTGTATGGATCATCAGTGGCCTCCTTGTATAAGGATGCCATGTTGGTAGGAACAGTATACCACAAGTTGATGTATTGTGAAGTACGTTACATTGATTGATTGTGATGCTTTATTTATCCATGCAAGTCATGACTAAATAATAGTCCTAATGTTTGAAACTTGCTCATGAAGATAATTTAAAAAGTAATTCTATTTTGTAACTAAACTCAGAGACATATATATGTGTCTGCTGAAACATATATTATTTGCAAAACCATAGAATTAGATATAGGACATAATTTAATAAAACTTAGAACATCTTATATACATTATATTTTGATATAGCCAATTCCTAAATGAGTACCTGGAAATCCTTGATGATCTTTTATTAAGAACAGTAGCTGTCATTTGAATACTGAGTTAAATACAAGTCTACACCTTGTCTTTTAAGTGTAATCTTGTTATTGGCTAGTTTAACTTTTGTACTATGAACAAACTAGAACTGATATTATTGTTTTGCTTGTTATATAATTGGTTGTTCAGCTTTGAACATTAACTCTTACTATACAGGCTACTATTTTGAAGGGTTGTGTACCATTTTAACAATTTTAGTTATATGCCTCCTATATGGATGTGCAGTTTCAGTTGGTAGCTTGTTTAGTTTCAAAGGAGCCTACATTATTTCTGATGATTTTCAGCAATTTGATAATTTTTAAACATAGGCTACCAGGAAACGACAATTTTGAAGGATTGGATTGTAACTTTTTTTTAGTCACATGAGAAGTTATGTAGAAATTTGGAAAATTTTTAAAATATGAAAAAATATATCTGCTTTAAATCGTTGGAATGGCTACATCTGGTTAGAGGACCAGGCCTTGCAGTCATAAAACTTTCATGCATGATTATTGTACTCAGACTCAGAAATCAACCAATCAAAATACTAGATTTGGTGTTTCAAGCACAAGTTTTGTACTCTGAGTACAGAGTAAAGTTTTATGACCGAGAGCCCAGGTCTACTAATTATTATGAATACTAATTTTGGCAATTTTTGAACTGCATAGACGTTTAAATGCTAGTACAACAGTGGAATTCTGAAGTTTATAATCATGTTAACAGAAACCATATTTGATAATTTTTCATATTTGAAGCTACATCTCACTTCAGGGAAGATATTTGTTTGATGATGGATCACTTTTGTTTCTGTTTTGGTTGCAGCATTGAGTGATCAGTATATTTTTCTGATTCAGCCATGCTGGATCTATGTGATCACTCCGGATTTGGAGATGGTGCAAAATTCTAAGTTGAAGACATGTCATGAAAATAATTATGTGTTTCTACGACTTGCAGAAACTTTATACTCCATTTTAATCATCAACTGCCAACTTTTAAAATGGTATTTGTCCTTGAATCAAGAAAATGTTGGGCGAACAACTTCTTTATTTTAGATATACACTTGCATATAGTTCCTCATGTAAATCAAAATTTAGATTAAATTGCCATTTATTAATGTGGAAAATGTGATTTATCAAACTTAGGCAGTTGATCTAAGAATAATGAAAGTGTCTTATCAGTATATTATGTTCCTGTAAGTCATTGAATAAAATTTGGTTCAAGATGTGTATTGATATCAAAGTTGATTCCCACACTTTTTTGAAATGCTATTATTCCCATTCTTGCATTAGGCAAATGAGATTATTGATACAATACTAGTATGATAGACAGCTGCTACGATTTTCAAACAATTACACTGAAAGGTGTACGTATTAATCGAATTAAACTCCAGTCAAATGCAGTCTTAATTGACAGTTATATTAATATATCATGACAGTTGATAATCATACTGGTATTGAGGTCAAGAATTTATGTATTCAATTTATTACACATTTAACTGAAAACAAATTATCTTTAAATCAATAGCAATAAACATAATTGCAGAACTCTTACCTGAGCATTTTTTGCAAAAGATTTATAAGTATATTCCTAAAAAAAAATTATCAAAAGTATGGTTAGAAAAAATGTCAGAATAGCTACAAAATTGGCTGAATATCAACATCCATGATGTTTTGATTCATGTAAAAGACTGACCAATATTATATGGTTTACTAAACATGGAAATAAAGTAGTGCGAGTGGAAAATGGTGTCCTGCATATGGGCACATATTTTTGTTTCAGTGCTTGTTTTTCTTCTTTTTGTTTTTAATTCTGACAAATTGTTATAGATACTATTACATTTATTCAATTTACATGTGTTTTAGTATACATATTTTTTATTTTGTGCTTTATTAGTGCTCAATGCTAAGACATCGCTTCCATATTCTTATGTATAATTAAATGCATCTCATATAGCAAGTAATGTTTGGTATATTATTATATTATGTATAAAACTTCTATCAGAGACCATTTGCAAAGGGAATTTTGTCCTTAGAGCATTAAAAGAATTAAATTTGGGTAAGAGCAAACAATGAAACATTTAGGGTGGTTGTAGCAGGCTGGTTGGAGGAATCAGTTTACTAAAACAGAATGATTGGTAACCTAATATAAGTCACAAGATTGTTCAACTTTAAAGAATATTGTATTACAAACAACTCAGAGTTTTGGTCAAAACCTACAAATAGTAAAAGTGAAAGTTGTGAAAAAATATTACCACATTATGAATTATGACATTAACATTGAACTTTAGATCGTGATAAACATTCTATTTTGCTTAAATGTTTACTTTGATACAATGTTAAATTCTCTAAATGTGTTGTTTCTTACAATTTTAGTGATTTTTAACATTTAGTGACTGGAAAGGCCACAACAAAATTAATTGTGAAGGCAACTTGCTTCTTAATGTGGAAGTATAGAAGTGTTTCACTGTTTATACACATATTGTGCCTGTTGACTTTACAAGCTGTCCTGTACTATTTAAATTTGAAATAAATTCTATATAATATATAATATGAATGTATCCAAATAATAACAGAAGGTTTTTGCTTTTATCTATTCACAGTTAAGGAATTTTTTAAAGAAAAGAATTAATGTAAATATCATGAAATTTCAAATTAAGGAATGTAAAGAGGCTTAATTTTTGTAGTTACATTAGCGTAATCGCTTATCATGGCTAGCTGAGGGATACAATCAAGTCCAATCCGAAGATCAGGTTACCCGATTGTAACCATTAGCCTCAATAGATGTATCCTGCTTTTGTGGCATTATTTTCCTGCATTTATTTTTTATCTCACCTTTCTAAGGAACATGTGAGCTTTTGTCATCACTTGGCGTCCGTCGTCGTCGTCCGCAGTAGTCGTCGACCGCCGTCGTCGTTTTACACAATTTGTTTATCATGTTTTCTAACTTTAAAAAATCGTCTCCTCTGAAACTACTGAACCAAATTAAACCAAACTTTAGCTGAATGATTTTTAGGTTATCTAGAATGAATTTTATGTTTTATTTTCTGTTTCCTCAGAAAACATGGCCGCCATGGCTAAAGATAGAACATAGGGTAAAATGCAGTTTTTGACTTATATCTAAAAAAACTGAAGCATTTAGATCAAATCAGACAGGAAGTTAAAGTTTTCATTAGGTCAAGGTCTACCTGCCCTGAATTTATCAGCCAAATCGGGTATCCGATTTTTAGGTTATTGCCCCTGAATTGATGATTTTCAGGAAATTTTTCAGTTTTCTGTTATTACCTTGAATATTATTATAGATAAAGGTAAACTGTAAACTTCAAAAATATTCAGCAAAGTAAGATCTACGAATAAGTTTAACTTGACTAAAATTGCCAATTGACCCCTTAAGGAGTTATTGCCCTTTAAACTTGGGCTGAATGAGTTTCAGAGTATCTAGTATAAGTTTTGTATTTTATTTCCTTGTACGTCACGAAACATAACCTCAATGGCTAAAATGGAACACAGGGGTAAAACGCATTTTTTGCTTTTGAAGAAAATATGACAGATACAAAGAACATTTAAATGGCATTTTTAAGCCACTCATTAATATATATTGAAAAACAAAAGTAATCATGGATGAAACATTTAAGCAAAAAATTACAGGTGAGTGATTCAGGCTCTTGAGAGCCTCTTGTCTTTACAGATGCTTATTTCATTTGTATACATAAAAAGCTTTTTTAATAGATTTATAGTTATTTTTTATGAGTTTTTACACTACTTTTTGATCATCAAAGTTTTTTATAAATTGTTTGTGATTATAAAAATTGCCATGACTAAAGTGATTGTTTTCCTTTGTGTATTTTATAGATTTTACTTATTTTGTTTCAGCAATAATCCAGGGTAGTTATGTTAGTGAATACATTTGGTTAAATCGCATAATTTAAACATAATTGTTTAGATATATGATGAGAGTTATATAGGAAAACATATACATTTGAAAATAAAAGCATACTTGTTTTAATTTCTTTAGTACAAAAATCAGACCTAGTCAATAGTCTCTAAGATCCTTGTGTGAAAATATTGCATGATTTAAAAAGCCAAATATTCTAATCTGACATTGATCTAATTCACACTGCAGAAGTGTGATTTAGTTTTCAGGATAGGATAAGTAGGATAAATTGTTCATTTCATGCTCCCAAGGCCAGGTTTAGTATCAAGGATTGGATCTGATCCTAAGTTTATTTGCAAGACAGGTATGAGATTTTATATGTAAATTTGTTAGTGAGTTCATGACTTCTAAATCTTGACACATTTCATTGGACCTTGACGTCATGTGGCAAATGTTCGTCTGACATGAAGTTGGCATTGGCGTTATACTTATGCTACAGTGGCCAGGTTACATTTGAATTTACCGACCGTGCGAAACCCTCATGGGTAGTCAAGGTCGTGAAATGTCCCCATAGTAGTAGGTTACGTTTTCAGGATAAGGTCAACCCCAGGGATTGACTGGTATAGAAAGAATGTTCACCTGGACTTTTTCCCTTTGCTAAGGGAGGGGTCCGTTTGGCTGTGTGTGATGTATAAGTATGCAGCCATGTCCGATCGAAATGTGGACGTTAAATCCAAAGCGTTGTGTAGAGGGAGTGTCCCGCCTAAAATAAAACCTTGCAAACATTATTTAGTGTACGTAGTTGGCCTGAAGCGAGTCTAAAGGTCTGCCCCTCTTCAACATATCCTCATTTCTAGTGGCAGCCAAACTTTCCTTAAAGGCTCAAGCTCATTCCAATCGGCTTACCTTGCAGAACCTACCTATTGTAATAATTGTTTCGGCAGTAAAACCCTTGCAAAAGTTGGGTATTTGTTTGGTTGGGCGGGATTTATCGTTAAATCCGATGAGGGAGTGCTATGTTTAAATAACCCTTTCAAGAACTTTGAGGGTCTGTATGTGGCCTTTATAAGCGTCTTTAGTTCTGCCACTATTCAACATACCTAATATCCAGTGGTAGTTTCCCGCCCTTCATTCCGGTCAGCCTACCTTGCAGAACCTATATATCGTAACAATTGTTTATTAATCTTGCTAAAGTTTGGCGTCCATTTGGCCGTGAAGGATGTATAAGTACGCGGTCACGTCCGAATGGAATGGTGACGTTAAAACCGATGCCTCAGATTGCAACACTCTCTGCGCGTGACAGAACTCGCGTTAAAACACCAAGAGAGTCCGTAGGTGGCCTGTTGCAAGAATAAAGCGCTGCCTCCATCTTGATTTCCCGCACTTCATTCCCAGCGGTCCCCTACCTACCTGTCGTAATAATTGTTTATTTGTGCTCGTCCTGAATATGTATGATTTATTTGCCACTGGACGTTAAGCAACCAGCAATCAATCAATCAGGATTAGGTCTGTTCCTCGGTGCATGTGGAAACACTGTAAGAAGACCGCCTGACATGTCATGTGGGCATGACCATATTTTGAAGCTGCATTGGCTAGGTTAATTTTCAGTAGGAATAGGCCAGAGACATATAATTACTATTGGTTTACTATTAATGGCCTCTTTTCACAAAAGGAATTATAGTAAGAACAAGTCGGTGAGATGTGGTATGTAAATTAGCCGTATAAGGACTATATGTACACCCCGAGTCGGACATATGTTATTATAGAGATTTCCAATAAAATAACATGCGTACGTAACTCGACGTACGGGCCTAATGGGATTGGTTATTGCCAATCATTGGATTTGATTAAATACGTCGCTCAAGATTAAATCAAGTATTCCAAGACTTTTAAAATCTTACACTGGAATTTTCGTCCATATAAAATAATTTTATCACGACGAAAAAATGATAGAAATCTTGCAATTTTATTTATCACGTGGTTCTCCAGATTCCCGTCTTTATTTTCACTGACATAAGATCACGTAGAAAAACACGTATCTCCATACATATCAAACAATCGATTTGAGTTATCTTCCATGGATTTTGGTAACCAACAATTTTTTTCAATATACTTTGCAGATGAACACTTTATTATGCCTTTTTTTTTTCGTTATCCGATGTTATTCTTTCTTTCTTTCTTTCTTTCTTTTTTTATCCGTTTTTTTATTATATTTATTGCTGGAGAAATATTTAGCAGGATATTTTTCTGACAATTTTAAAAATATCGAAACCAATGTTTGTCAGAATCTGTCTCTTTATAAAAGTTGAAATTGAGATAAAACTATCGCTTCCATTTAATTTCTAATCAAAACTATTCATTATTTTTCATTTATTATAAAATGTATTGATGATAAATTCCCTATATAGGTTGTGTTTTAGAAGGTGTGCTCGATTAAGGATTGATATGTGTTGTTTTGTTTAACGAGAATGCTATCGGAGACATTTGCAAGCTTTTTTTTTTAATATCCCTTGAAGTAAATTAACTTATAGTATGTTATCCATTTTATTGATAAACAAATAATTGGAAAAGGGGGGGGGGGGGGGGGGGGAGGGACCACCGAATTCGTTTTACTACATAAATCATTCGTTTTACTACATAAATCATTCGTTTTACTACATAAATCATTAACTGAAATGTGTTAGGCAAGAAACATAGAAATATAGAACAACATAAGATAATAAGATTTCGTTGCCAGATGCGGATCCAGGATTTTGAATAAAAAATTGAAAACAACACGTTTAATAATTTCATGCGTCCGAAGCGCTTTTCTGGATAAGGGGGATCTAGGAACATGCCCCTCCTCCTAAATCCTCCTTTTGGATGCGCCATGCAGTCAAAACAGCTCTCTTTCGACGTTTAATTCCCAATACAGTGTAGAATATGTCGATTTTGCGCAACGCTATAAGTGTTTATAGGATGCAGGGCCATGTATTTCAGGGTTCGTTGCATATGTTTTTACATATGCATATTTCGGACGAGAAGATGAATATGAACCAGACTTTGTATTATAACGCATTGTGGCACCGTTAAAGTCCACAATTCATCTAAAGTCTACAACACCACTAAAATCCACAACAAATTTCCTTATAGTCCATGACGTCGCTAAAGTCCGCAAACTTTCCCGCTAAAGTCCTCGAAATGACCTCCGCTAAATTCACGCATGAAGATATGTCACGCTACCCTACCCGGACACATGATTCTGAATTAAACCTTTAACCAACAGTTTCATTGAAATAAATTGATTAATGCGCATTCGAAATATTATTATTTCATGATTATTCAGATTTTCAATTAACAGTCCACTCCCTACTGGCATTGACGTCTTTTAACCAAGTTGAGGCTTTGACTGCCAATATTCAAATCAATTACTTCACCAGAAATAAAATTCAAGTTACACTACTGTCGATTGATTGATAGTTGGTTGCTTAACGTTTAGTGGCAAACATTTCATGCATATTTAACGTGCGCAGAGAGCGTGGCATTCTCTCTACAAGAGGCGTCGGATTTAACGTCCCCACTATGAATATGTGGCCTAAAGACACAGTGCACCTTCACATGGTTATATTTCTATGTTCAGTGCACCACTAAAACCGGGTCAAACTCTATTTTTATTTTTTCAAACTTAATTTTGATTAAGTAGCTTTAAGAATTTAACCTTTGAGAGATACATATATGGGTCAAGTGAAATGACGAAGTAATGATTGGTGCATTTGATTACCGGTAACTGAATAAATTATTCCCTTGAAAGTTTGTTGTCAATAAAATCATCCAAAATGTAATTACAAAATACGTAAAAATTAAAATAGCAGATTGTGCTAATTTTTAAATAGCATCTATTCCAACTAAGTATGTGTATTCAACGAGCCAAAAAATCATGCAGTCTATGCTCCCCTCCGTCATCCTTCAATGCAATAGGCCGAGATACGGTCAGATAGGCTGGTTATGTCGAGTAATGTCATTTTATTGGAAATCTCAAATAGCCCATTTTAATATGGTAATGCTCCCAAATATCTTTGTCTCAGTGTCTATGCGTGCTAGGACGAATCATTTAGTAGTTGGATTGGTTATAACAGAGACATATGTATCTGGTTGTAACAATTGAATGTCTCATTTTCATTGTAGAGTTGAAAAGTAACATTTTATGGATTATATCTCTTGCACATTTATACGTGACAAGTTAATAAACTTTTGTATTTGGATTATTTTAGTTGCCCCTTTCTGATTGAAATTCCATATATAGCCTTGAACTCAACATTGACTGATGCGCTACAGTGGTCCGGTAAGATAACATTCTTTATTGTTGGAAATTACTTGATAGGTTGACAATAATGGTAATGTGAATTCATTAAAAGAGGAGGTGTATACGACAGCAGAGACATGATGGCCGTTTGTCATAGTTATTGAGTTTTTCATGGTAACAATAGATTTGGTGAAACTTGTCTCTGAAGACATAGATAGTGTCTATACTAATTTATGAGAGCCTCTGTCACACCACCCACATAAGAGCTATTGCAGTATCCTGTTCACCTGAGACATATAAAACCGTTATAGTTCCTTATGTCCACCAGTCTTGGCATCTGAAAATTATCGCTACTCTATTTCCTATATAATAAATCTTTATTGCAAAATTACACCCATAAGGGTCAAGCAATACAAACAAACAATGATACAATTAAATACAATACAATGCAATACAATACAATAGAACATATTTTAAGGAAGAGTTCAATTTACAAATGTATGTAAAAAACACAATCATGAACTTGTCTGACATGGGTCTGCCCCCCTCAGTTCTAAAGACTGCTTAATGAAGACTCCAATATGACAAACAAGTTCAGGGTTGAGGTTTAGAATGTGTTTTAGTTTATTAAATGCATCAAGATGATGGAATAATGGTACATAGTCTTTTAGATAAGCCAAAAAATTTGAACGCAATGCTATGTTAATGTCACAATACAAAAAGAATTAAACGGCAAGAAATTGATGCAAGCGAATTTAAGAAAACTATCTTTGACGTTTTGTACGAAAACAACATCAGAGAAGTTTGAAAAAACTTTAATGAGTGTTGTTTTCCTTTTAGAATGACATGC